GTCCTAGATTCTATGCGCAATCACTGGAACGCTTAAAGAAAAGCGATTTTCTCAGTCATGGAAAACGGCACGACCTCCCCATCTCCGACTATCGTGAAGCCTCACTTTCTGAATGAGAGTTGTCAATTTCTTCAAGTCCACTGAGAAATGACATGGATTCGATGCCAACATTGTCCTCGAAGATCAAAGCACCGTTCTGGATTTTTGTAATACGAGCCAGAGGTAGAAGCGCTTCTTCAGTCACTGTAAATAAACTTAGGCTAGTGATTATCAGTGCTGCTTATGTAGCTGGATAAGGTAGTAGTTAGAACGACCAAAAAGTTTTGCTTCCGCGGTAGCAACCGCAAGTGAAGGGCATAGGAAAGAAAAGTATTGGCTAATAGAACTATTAGAAAATGTTGCAACACAGGAGGAGAACTGTGTGGCTGAAAGGGAGAGAAGTTGGGCGTGCCGCTCGATCCGTACCGTCAGGGCCGTTAGTGAAATACTGGGACGTACAAAGTATGCGGCGATTCTGCCGTAGTTCGCCGCGATAATAGACGTGGTCCGCGACGCCGCAGCCTTTGCGGACGAGCTGTGTTGCTCCATGGCATCCTTCATAGTTGAAGGGATCTATCCCATTGCTACTTGTAAAAACCACGTAAAAGCAAATCCTCTGCACCAACGACAAATCGTTTGGATACGGCGACATTTGACAACTTTGACATTGCCGCGCGACTGAGCGGTGCGATCTCTTAGCTTATGCGCTACTTGCATGCGCCCTCTCACGCGGTAATGCAGGGCCACTGTTCTGGCAGCTCGACTTCGTTATCGTGCCAATACACGCGCAGCCGAATCTCGTCGCCCAAGTCCCGCAGGGGATGAGAGAAAGTGCTACACTTTTATATGGCGGACCTGCCCAGCTTGCATTCAAAAATCCACCCGTCAGGTACACTCCCAGAGCTGCGAAAATATGATATATGGTGATTTTTTCGTGGATTATTTCATTTGAGACAACTGTTGGCTTATGACGATAGAGTCGCCAGTTCTGAAAGAACTTAAAAATTTCAAAAACTTAGTGCTAGTAAGTCTTTTTTGACTTCAATATGCGATCAACAAGACATACCATAGAGATTTCTAAACTCAAGATCTCCCACAATTACAGTACAGTCTTTTTGAGCAAATTCTTCCAAGAAGGCTTCATCCACCTTTCCACCTCGGCACGAGTGTACTGAAAAACACCATTACAGTACAACTGGATGAAATACGCAAACAGCGGTACCTAACGCTCCCTCTCAGCTTAAAGCACATGTTTGATAAAGCACGGCACAGATGTAGCACAGGTTCGCAACCTGGAAAGAGTTAGAAGATGACGTTCTATCTACCACTTTGGTGATGACGCGATCATTGCCTGTCACCCTACTAGCGCCGTCTATGGCTGCGTTCATGCTTATTGGCAGCGTCCGCCAGCGACACCAGTTTTTCGAGCTCTAGGGACCAGGAAAGTATGGATATCACTAGCGTCTACCAGCATCTACTAGCGTCCACCAGCGACCAGCAGTAGGGAGTATGGGGAAGTAGGAGGGAAAAGTCAGCTGGATTAGGCGTCATTAAATGCGGCGTGTGCAACCGCAACGTGCTACACCGTACACACTGTCGTCTGGACCGTTGGGGTCGCTTCGCTAGACGCTATGAGCGAATCTATTAGTTTTCTTAGTGCCTCGAGACGCTGGTGGACGATGGTAGAAGCTGGTGGAGCTAGGTCGACATCTATACTTTGCTAGTCGCTGACGCTGACGGACGTCGAAACGTTGATGATCGCTGGTGTACGCTGCCAAAGTATGAACGCAGTATTAGGGGAGCTCCCTGGAAAGAGTGGGAGAGCAGAGCTGCAGAGAGGCAGAAGCAGAGAAGACGGGGGGACGGGGGCATTGGTAGAGATGACCGCGGAGAGCGAAGCGAAGTATGATTCCCCTCGAGAGGAAGTATAGCATGAGGCTCTTGCTGTTTCCAAACAATGCAGTCTACGTCGAAGAGACACTGAACGTTTGAAAGAGAAACAGACAATGGTATGGCGAGAGAGTACATAAATGATGGAGACCCCACCGCTTTACAATGATAGCAGAATGAATAATAGAGGTGCATTAATGGGGTGAAAACAACAAAGCGTGGTAGAGCCTAGCTTCCACTCAAGCGGTTACTGGTCACAAAAGTGAAACATCTATCGTGATTGAGGGCCGCAACGGAGGAGGAGCTTCCACACGTTGGTTGATAACGACCTCTGCTTTCGGGGCAGCGAGTCTATCCAGGCACTAGGAAAGCATGGATATCGGTCTAGCGTCCACCAGCGATCAGTAGTAGGACACAGTGTAATAGTACGGTGCGGTTGCACAAGCCACTATTTCCCGACTCAATAATGTCTCCTCCCTCCCACTTCCCCGTACTTCTGCCAGCATTCATCTACCATACTCTCTACTCCTGGTGGCTGGTGGACGCTAGAGACGCTAGATCGATAACCATACTTTCCTAGTCCCTCGAGACGCTGATGGTCGCTGGCGGACGCTGGTAGACACTGCCGTTCGCTAGATCGATATCTATACTTTACGAGTCGCTGAAGCTGGCGGGCTCCCGTAATGCTGACGGTCGCTGGTGGAAGCTGCCGCGAACTATGACGCAGCCCAACCAAGCCCACCACCGCCGTGGCAGCTGGTTTGTCCCTTGACACTGTTTCCGTTTTCGCTTCTTTGCACCGAATTTGCAGACTTGTTTGATTATCGAAAACTTCATTCTAGGGTGCTTTACCTCCTCCCCCTATCCATTCCTTGAATTCTCTCATGTGAATGAGAAAGAAGAAGGCGACTCACCATGACCGTGACCTTCGTGGTCTTCTGGTCCATGATCATGGTCAAACTTTTGCGTTACCCCGACATCGTGATGCCTTTTTGCTGTGTGCAGCTCCGATCACATAGAATATCAGCAGGATATGCTGAAACTATTATCTGTTGCCTCATGATTGGAGAATCAGCTTGAACCAGGAGTGATGGTGCTACTGCAGTTGATGCGGAGAGGGAGCAGGGCTTTTGGTGGAGCGAGAAGTCCGCTCCACACCAGCGCTTTCCAAAACGAATCCGCTTGCGGACTCGTCAACTACAGTAGCACTACAACGGTTCTGGGCGCTAAGGCTGCGTTCAGACTTCGCGACTGCAGCGCTTCAGTCGCGCGTTCGATGCCGTCGAAAGCATGCGCATCGACAGCTTAAAACGCGCAATCGAAGCGGTGCCGTCGCGAAGCTCAGAACACTGCCCAACGTAGTTGTAGATGGGGGAGGGGGAAGTTACCACTTGGCTGTGCGTAATTATCTCTCGATTTAATTAAGGCCTTGGCTTAGTAAAGACTATGTCTTCGCGGCCAAATGACTCTTCCCCCTCCCACCGCCAAATACGTTAGCGCCGAGTCCCAACCACAACCTTATGTTTAGTACTTGCTGACTCACCATTTCCTACTGACAGCTGCTGAAGAATGAGACGCAACCACACTGTCTGATAATTCGGTTTATACCTCGCGATGAGCCGGTTATCAGAGAGAACTGAAGGCGCACACATACTGAGCGATGAAACGGTGAGACAGAGAGTCAGCGATACGCCCGCTCCGCTTCGCACCCACGAAAAATCAATACTCACTACCACGTCTGGTACCGTACGCTACACTTCTATTACAAAAGGAGCTTTCCTAAAAGACTTTTGTTAGATGAAAAACTCTCTTGCTACCGCTTGACGTGGAAGTTCCTCAGAACTTGGGGAGATATGGCACAAGGGAAGGGTCTCTACTCTCGGGAGAAGCATAACATTGATACGATAACTGCCACTACGAAGTAGAAGTATGAGTTATGGCATAACTACTGCGCCATGCACCTACACTTGGTATAGTTGCGGCCGGACGGACAGCTTACCAGCATCACTCAGCACTAAATCAACTCATCGCGCATTCAACACTTCTGGAGAAAGGCCTGAATTTCCCCTTTTGCCGTTTTCTTCGGCGACTCTGCTGAGAAGCCCTGTGAAACGTCAAACGTAGAAACTTCGCGGAACGCAGTTTCGGGGGGGGGGGTGTCTAGGGTGACCTCCAAGTTGTGGCGACTGATGCAAAATACATGCTGTAAAGAGGGATGACGTACGTAGCATTCGCACCAGGTGGGTGCCAATGAGTGGGGGGGGGGGGTGAACCACCCGCTTTTGCATTCCTCACCTCAATTGAGGCTTAAGCTTTGCGGAAAACAGCCTCGAAGAAAAGCTCACCGACGAGCGCACGCGTCGCGTGTTTACTATCACCGAAGCGATAACCCGGCGAAGAGAGAAGCAAAAACCAGGACTTCACCCTGCAGTCTTGAGGCTAAGAATTCTCTAGCTGCCGATGAATGGGAAGGCGAGGAGTAACATGGAATGCTTATCTAAAATAGTCATATTAGAATGGGGGGGCCGGGTATTCCTAAAAAAAGATAGCTAAGCGCTCCTCTGAATTCAGGGATTGTATTACTACTACTGCACCTCGGCGCTGCCGGCTGAAAACGAACATAGACTAATGAAGAGCATACCTATCAACCCGCAGCGATGGCGGTCGGAATCAGCGTCCAGTCATTCGCCTTCGTAGATATCGCTCAGGCTTCGTTCAAACTTTGCGGCGGCGGGCCCGATCAGCAACGCACCTGCGAGCCATTCAGCCGTCCTCGAGGGAGCTAGGAAAGTACGATACTTGAATCTAGCGTCCACCCAGCGTCCTAGGAAGCTAGGGAAAGTATGCGGGAAGGAGCGTTAGGCAGACTAGTAATGGGCATGCTATACTAAACGAAAGCCGAAGTCGCTTTAATCTCCCCCCTTGAAAACTATCCGCGCACTTTGAATCAGACTTTCATTGGGGCGCACGCTATTTTATGGGCCGCGGTAACGACGGAACGCAGGTTCGAGTTGTCACTTTGTTCAGATTTGTTCACTCGATTGCAATATATTCTGATTGTATCACTGATTACTGCAACCACTCAGTAATGATCAATAACTTGTAGAGACAGAGTCGCAATTGAGGAACTAAACTGCACTAAAATTCTTCTCACGCCCGGAAGTTGAAAAAGGGAACTTCAAGGGACGTTCAGTGCTATTACAATCCAAATAGGGCATCTCACTGGTTTCTCTAAGTTCCTCAAAACGCACTGGAAGTACGCATAAGGTATTGGTGTGATGCACTACTGTAACCAAATAACGAAACTTGCGAAAGCGTTGGATGAGAAATGGTGGAACAAGACAGCAATTGAAGGGAACAATCATGAAGCCTCGACAGCTAATTACCACACTTGGAAAAACTGACAAAAGCTGGGAGAAAGAAGCGGGGATAGTTCGCTCAACGAGCGACTGTTAGTATGGTAATGGGAGATCATCGAAATTTCTGAGGCGGAAAAGCGCTTCCAAATCCGCCATACTTTCATGACAGGCGAGGTGGAGATGAGGGCATTCACTAATACGGCGCTTTTCGATGATGCTGAATTTGCTAAGTCGATCGTCTGAAAACTGAGTTTTTCTATGGGGCGAAACGAAACTGAAGTTGCGGCACACAGACCTGCTGGAAAAGATGCAGTGGGTCCTAGGACCAAACAGGCGGTGGGATGCATATGAAGACCAAACTATGTTCGAACACACCTCGCTTCGAACGCCTTTCAAGATCGGTTCAAACGCCTGGACTGTATTTACAATAACTAGGTTTCTATACGATATGGTGTTGTTCACACGTTTTTGTACGCTCGTTATCATATCTCATGTTCGTACTCGCATAATGCACGAAATGCGCGTATTTTCCAGTTTGACGAGTGTTCACTTTTTCCTGTATTCATTGGTGTACTGTCATTTTGAAGCGTTACTAATGTAAGTAGACCGCCAACGGAATAGTAGTGATTGCGAAATAGCGCGCTCCAATGACAGCCACTCGAAGGGGTGCGCGCGGGAAAGTTATTCAAAGAGGTTACCTCGGCTTCGTTTAGATAGCATCGATAGATGGTTTAGGCGTTGTAAAGTTGAGACTGTGCAACCGCACCGCACTACACAATACAGTAATCCTGAACATTGATGGACGCTAGATCGGTACCTGTGCTTTCCTAGTCCTCGAGAGGCTGATGGTCGCCGTAAACGATGGATCGATATCTATACTTCCGTAGTCGCTTACGCTGATAGATGCTTGAAACGCTAATAGTCGCTCTTGGACGCTGCCGCAAAGTATGAACACAGCCTCAGCACGCACTGTATGCGTGCCACCGTTGTTCTTTATCCCCACCTCCTACCCCAGCATCTTACCTGTGATTCAGTGTCTTTGGCGCCACATGATACGCCTTGTTACGCTGCTGATAATAGCAAAACTTCCTCGTCATGTGGTATCTCAGACGTCGTCGCATAACTTCTCGAAAGCAGAGGACCTGTGCCACACCTGCACCCTTCTGTTACTGAACTTATCTGAAAATAGTATCAGAATGATTCACTGTTTTTGTTTGTGTTAACTTTATCAACATGAAACATTTTTGAAAGAGCCATTGATAGTTAAGAATAAATAAGGACACATGAAAAATTCTCAACATGTAAAAGAAAGAAATTGAAAGGGAAAGACTAGTAAATACACCAAAGCCATTACCTAAACAGACACCGTGGAAGAAATACAGTTAGATGAGAGATGAGCAGGACATTTACGCAATTAACACCGCCCCTCCATTTCAGGTATGTCACCGGATTGACTCGCTACAGTAAACCAAGCCACTTATGGCATTGTGATAGTGCCATCATGTCCTTGTTGTAACGAATGGTACTTGCGGTGTTACTTGGACACAATCTCATCTCTGTATTGAAAAGAGCCGGGACTATGTAGTCTACGCGCAGTGACGATGCCTCTTTCTGCAAGCCCTTCCTCCTTTCACAGGGCTTACTTGAAATGGACTCTGTAATCCGTGGAAAAAGTCTGTAAACGTCCTACTCAGCTTTTTTACAGTGTAAAATGACAAGATTTGAATACTTGAAGAATAGGTGAAACGAAAGCCGAAAGCACATTCAACTGTGAACCGTAAAAACGACAACAATTACAGGAAAATAGATTTGTGAATTCGATGCTTAGCACAACAACAATAACGCATTTCAATAACTGCTCAATGAAGTCCATATATTTTAAATTTCGCATCGCCAATTTCATCGAATGTTTTCGTACGCTCCGGACTTCCCCTCGGTGTTTTAAGTAGATCCTAAAATAAGCTAATCTAATTCAACGAAACTTGAGAAAAAAAATTGCTGAGAAGTTGATTACTTGGATGTGCTGAACCAATAAATCGATAGCCACATCATTTTCACCACCTCTCGGAATGATGACGTCCGCCCATTTCTTCGTGGGAAGGCAAAATTCCTCGAAAGCAGGCTTTACCTAAATACAACATGTAATTATGAAGGCAATGGGCACGAAGGCTGGAACGGGCGCTTGCTGCCAACGTCATTGGAAGAGCTGAATGGGGTGGGGAGCCTTCCATCAAAGACGTTGGCAGCGACAGCCCGCTCATGCCCACTGCTTCGGAACTTAAAACTTTGAAGCTCAGGAATTTCATGGAGTTGAGAACGGTGTTACGTAATGGATAGAAAATTCGATCTGGCACTCATTTTACACCGCTAAGAAAATAGATGACGTATCATTGACGTCATCTGACAAGTCAATGACGTGTCTTGAAGAGTCAGTGATAATGATTAAATGCAGATTTTTTCGCGATTAACGTGTCAGATGACATGGCATCTACTTACTCTTAGCAGGCAACGGACTCAAGGTACACCTCCATGACTCGAGGTACATCTGCGAACCCATTTCTCCTTGACCGAAGACTCGGCACTAGTCCCCTTGGCTGCCACAATCTTCGAAAACCGGGCCAGATGAAGTCCAAAATTTTCCCGCAGTTAGAGCTAATAAAATTCTGTGCTCTGAGGTCGGTCGGCCTTAAAGACACATGGTAGCTCAAACACATTGAGGGTGTATGAGAACTATCAGCCCCCCCCCCCAGGGTTCATTTCTGGTCACCGGCCGCCCAGAAACTCAGCTGGGTCAGATACGGGGGTTGGAAAAGTCGACAAGATTATAAGTTCAGGTTGTCAGGCGGCGTACCGTACCCCCGAAATTTGCGCGTCCAGTGAAAAACATTGATGTCGGGTGCACGATCACACTACATTACACGCCAGACTCATTACTTCTGTGCAAAACTTGTTGTTTAAGGACAATGTTTTTAGAAGTTAATGAGTTTCAGCATGTTATTATACTGTCACTATAGTTATTATTATTATTATTATTATTATTAACTATTGCTGCACCGATTTTTCGAGAAATAAACCAGTTTTTGACCGGCTATTTCTATGGGGGCAGATTTGGCTGAAAACTCGGTTCTAGGGAAGTTTAACCTTCTGAATACGGGAATCACATTAATTTGCGTTGAGTTGCCAAGCGCCCGCGCCAGGGTGCTGGCGTCAGGATACCTAGAATCACCAAACCCGCCGAAAGCTTGTGCCCTTGGGTTGTTTGGCCTCCTAACAGGAGCATCACATCCGCTCGACCTGACTGCATGACCCCTACAAATGATGCCCAGGATCGCCGAATCCGCCGAAAGTTTGTGCGCCGGGGTTTTCGAGCTCCTAAACACGAATATCACATCCGCTCAACCTAGAGCTGCCTCGTGCCTGCGCAAAAATACCAAGAACACCGAATCAGCTGAAATTTTGTATACGGGATTTAGGCATCCTGGTTACGGATGTGACCCCCATTCTTGACGTTTGTGCGAATGGAGAACACTACGTTTGTCTTCTCCTGGGGCTGCCTCCCCCAAAGGGGATTGCTTCCTCTCCCATGCACAGCCTTATCAGAGTGATAAATGGCACTGGCGTTAAAAGAGCGCTAAATGGTGCCGATGCAAATGAATGCCACGCTTCTGTCATCATCAAAAGTCATCTAACCTTATGGGCCAAGCTTCACTAAGAAATTGTTTGACTATGAAATGCATCACATATGGCACTATTCACCCTTTACTGCCCTGCCCCAATCTTCCGAAAACAGGCCAGTTTGTGACCGATTTTTTCTGCGTTGGCAGAATTGGCTGAAAATTTGTCTCCTGGGGTAGTTTGACCTCCTGAACATGAATATTACATGCGCTAAACACGAAACTTCCTGGCGCCTGTGCCGCAATCGCCGACGCCAAAACACCTTGAATCACCAATCGCTAAAAACTCGTTCTCAGGGGTACTCTGATCGCCTGTGGCGCGGGCGTTAGGTTTCGGGGTATGCGAATGTCATATTCGCATTTAGGAGATCAAAATACCCTAGGAGACGAGTTCCCAGCCAATGCTGCCAACGCAGAAAAAAGTCGATCAGAAACTGGCTCAATTGTGGATGGTTAGGGCAGTAAAGCGTAATTAATGCCTCATATACTTATTAGCTTTGATTTTTACAAGGTTTTCATTATTCATACACCTTTTACTTCTTTTAACATCGAATTTGCAGAGCAAGTGCCTTTTAACATCCTGCTTCGTAGTGCGGACCGTCGCGAAAGTATTGTCGGAGTAGTGTTCGGATGCGCCCGACGTCGGGGAGTTCCATTCGATTCTTCAAACAAGTTTGAGTATACAAAATCTTTTCCCGGCACATTGTATTCAGCGCTCTTTCGTGTCGAGCGGATGTGACACTCGTGTTTAGGAAGCCAGTCTATCCCAGAGCACAAGTTTTGGCGGGTTTGATGATCGTGGGTATCCAGGCAATTCTAGGTTGAGCGATTGTGAAATTCGTGTTATGAGGTCCAACAACAGCAGGATCTTTCAGCGGATTCGGCGATCCTGGCATCATTGCTAGGGCGTCAGGCAGTTCCAGGTCGAGCGGATGTGATACCCTGTTAGGAGGCCAAACTACCCAGGGGCAGCAACTTTCGGCGGGTTTGGTGATCTAGTATGGTGACGCCAGCACCCTGCGCGGGCCCGCTTGCAAACTCACGCAGAATTAATTGATCCCTTTATCAGAAGGTTAAACTTCCCTAGAACCGAGTTTTCAGCCAAATCTGCCCCCATAGAAATAGCCGGTCAAAACTGGTTTATTTCTCGAAAAATCGGTGCAGCAATAGTTAATAATAATAATAACTATAGTGACAGTATAATAACATGCTGAAACTCATTAACTTCTAAAAACATTGTCCTTAAACAACAAGTTTTGGGAGCGAGAAGTAATGAGTCTGGCGTGTAATGTAGTGTGATCGTGCACCCGACATCAATGTTTTTCACTGGACGCGCAAATTTCGGAGGGTACGGTACGCCGCCTGACAACCTGAACTATAGACTGTGAAAAGCGTAACTTCTTGCTACACCGCCCTCACTTTACGATAAACCATCCGCCGCCGGCCGTCGCGTGCAGCTCTCTTACTTTTTGCCAATCCTGTATTGCGCTTGGAATGATTGGCAACGCGCAAATTTCTTTATGCGGATAACATTTTAGGTGCTGCAAAATAAGAACCGAAGATGATGACGAGGGCTAGAACTCAAGAGCAACTGTGGTGCTTCTGCAATATCCCTCAGAGGCCGCGCATTCCCACAGAACATGACAATAAAAACGGACAACATGACAATAAAACATGACAATACAAGCAAAACGCAATTTCCCTGACAGTTGAAGGTAATTGCTGATTCCGCGAATAGAAGGTGATGAAGATGACAAGGCTAGAAATGAACAACACGAATGTAGATGTAAATAAAACAAAATTGAAAAAACTAAGGAAACGCAATAAATTAAAATCGCGTGTGCATTTCTGCGATCCGGCTCGAATCCGGCTCTAATGCTATAGAAATACTTCAAACTAACGAGTGGGACGCTTAGGCCGTTTTTATTTTGATGTTTTGTGGGAATGCGCGGCCTGCGAGGCTGTTGCAGAAGCAGCACATTGCTCTCTTCAGTTCTTATTTTGCAGCACCTAAAATGTTATCCGCATAAAGAAATTGCGTTGTACTTGTATTCCAAAGCGCAATTACAGGACTTGGCAAAAAGCCAAGAGAGCTGCACGCGACCGCGCCGCGCGGACGGTGTTAGTAAAAACGTGAGTTTGCGAAAAACGGGCGGCCGTGGCAAGGAATTACGACTTCCCCATGGTCCCGTACTCTATCCCCGTGCAGTTTTGGGCGGGAGGGACCACGACACATCGACAGCTGGGGGCTGATAGTCTCATACACCCTCAATGTGTTTGAGCGTACCATGTGTCTTTAAATACGAATATCACATTTGCTTGGCACTGGAACATTAGGCACAGGCGCTATGGGTGCCGCTGCCAAAACTTGACTGTGCTCATGGAACCTGCCCTCGAGCGTGAAGACGTTTCGGCTTGAAGCGGATGCGATAGTCGTGTTCAGCGGATCATAATGGAATCTCAGAAGCAGAGCGTTAACAAAAACTGACTGCTGAGGGGAGCGAGGGGCAGGGAGATTTCGATCAAATCTACCCTGAACTTTGAGGAATGATCACGAAAAGGTTGATAGTGCATGAGATTTACAAGGAATACAAAACTTTCAAAGCGTAAGCAGCGGGTTGGAACTTGCAGAAAATAAAATCTCACTTCACAGAGCCAAACAGGAGAAACAAAAAAAAACGACGAACAAACTTACTTTTTTCGTATACTGGTTAAGGACAACCGAAAGTGGTCGCTTGCGTTCCACTGTATCGCGGCGCACTGTAAAATTGACGTTGTCGAAGATTAGCTATGCTGACAAGGAAAAAATGAAAAGTACTATTAGGCAGAAAATACAGAAAAGCAAAACGGGACTAGGCTGATTAGGGCAATGAGAAAATTCAACCGTCTGGACCGCTGCTGCTTCCAATGCATCCCTCAGCCTGAAACCTCTGAACCCTCTTAAAAGCGCCTGCGCCCTTGTAATTTTGTCGCCGGGCCCTTAGCGCAGGAGCCGAGCGTTTTCGAAGCATTTTCTTGAAGCGATATTCGTGAGAGTTCAAAATACAGCGGGGCAAGTTTCCTTAAATTTTTTTTAGCGCCGGCTCCTAAGATGTGGGCGGCAGTCGGTTTCGAGCCAAGCAAACGCGATATGTTTTCGCGAATCAAAACTTTTAAAGACGGAACTCTAGCCAAATCCAAGTACCGGGAAAGTTTCGACCAAAATCTGGCCAGAATTCGAAGCGTGAGGCACCTAGGGGTGAATAATGTCCTGATAACTGAATATAAGGAACCATAAAAACAAAAATCTTTATAGTTCCCGAAAATTTTCCACTATCTCATATGGATGCAGATCTCTCACCAGGAAATCACTACCCACTCGCTTAAGATTAGATTCCGCAACGATTCCGTGCTTCAACTGCACAATTGGACGTGTCCCAGCGCTACTGAGCTTGGGAGGGACATTTTGCACTTTCGCTAGTTTCTTTTGCGATTTCATATCAACTAACAGGTATCACTTCTGCGAGACCTGTGAACTCTTGTGAAGCTGCGAAATGAAACAGGTGAGCCACGTTGCTTACAAGAATTCTCAGTTTTTACAAGGTGGTCTGTGCAGGCCTCGCTGAGTACCATTTGGTGCTCCAGCTAACCCAAACTGATTCCTTGCATCTCTCACCAGTGGACAATAAGCGCATATATAAACCAAGAATACGGCAATTAAGACTGACCACGACGTGCTAGGCGAATATCAGCATCTGCGTCAACAAACAGTTTCATTGCGAACTTATTTCGAAGACGAACGTCGTAGAATATGAGAATTCCCTCCACAATAATCACATCTGCCGGTTCTATACGGAGTGTGCCTTTTCTGTAAATTACAATATAGGAAAACATAGTAGAGACCAACGTCGGTCAGCGCAGCATGTCGCTGTTCCTAATCAAGAATATGCCTGAAAACCCACAAAATCTGACCTTGTACTCGTTAAGAAGTCATACTTGGGAATCGTCACAGCTTTTCCTTGCTCTAGCTGAGATATCGCTTCCGTAAGTCTGTCGAAGTCGAAAGCAGCTGCAACAAAATAGAAATTGAAACCGAGAGTTTTCATAAATTCGTATGCGCTAAAGAACAGCTAAACCTTTTTTTGGCTGATAACCTTGCAATCCGAGTTTCTGGACAGGAAATAATTCTCGCAGGTTAGTTTGCAATTAAAGCAAGAATCGCTGTTACCAAACCCACAAAGAGAGACTGCGAAATCCTATCACTTTTTGACTCCCACTCGGACATGAAGGGGGCTTCGCAACGGCGCGACAAAGTCGGTTCTTAAGGAGAGGGATGACTTGTTTGCTTCGCCATATTGCTCCCCAACTACAATCGCGTCAAATAGTCACGTCAACGGTGTGAGCACTGGAGCACAATATTTAGTAAATTTCAAAGGCGCAAATCGGCTTGGTGGGGGGGGGGCACCATATGGCCAACGAAGCTTGTACAATATCACCTTGTGAAGAGCTGTAGTGATTTCAAGCCAAGGAGCTCACTTGGACCATTTCGCGACTCTATACGACTGTACAGGTCTCACCCAAATTAGACCTGTTAGTTAACATGGATTCGCAAAAGAAACGTGAGAAAGTGCAAAATGCCCTCCCAAGCCGTACAGCGTCAGCTTCATTTGTATCGAAAGAAGTAAATCAAGGATAAATTGAATTACTAGGAATGGAATCCGTACCCACACAAGGTGTGGTCATGTACACCACATGAAGAACTGAACATCGAGAAGGAAAAGAAACCAACCTGGATGATCAAAGTCGTACTCCCCTAGTTCAGCTTTTAAACGTTGCTCTTCGTCCAACTCCTTATAGAATGACTCCATCGGTATAGTGATCACCTAGAAATCATTTTATTTCTCAATAAGACAATAAAAAACCGAGTAATGTAGTCTAGATGGACCCAGCATTAACAGGTAAAATAACACATCCAAATTAGGTGTGGAAAATGTCCAAATGGTGAAGAAAAGCGTTGAGTAGCGCTAATATAGGCAGCTGTTCTAGTGCGTTCTAGGCTTTTGAAATGTATCCACCATTGAAATTTTCGTTATTATAAGCGGACGAAAAGTACGCTTATCCACAGCCAGGGAAGTGAAGGAGCTCGGAAATGAGTGAAGTGGATCACTCGCCAGGGTTCAGCATCGGTGGGGGGATGGGGAGTTGTATTTGATCCGCTGGTGAGGGAGGATCGTACCCGCTTTAGCGAAGAATTCTTCCGTGCAGGGAGAAAATGTTCTGAGAGTTTCCATGCAATGGTGATTGACAGCGAGAAATCCTCCCCTGAAAAAAAAGTAGCAGAAGGGGGTTTTCCTTTTGAGGGGTAGCATAACATAGGATCCCAGAGCCCTTCGCTCAGCGGTTAGGCGAAAATCGTCACCTCTGCTGTCTCAGAAGCGTCCCTTGCACCACCCAGCACTTGATGCAATCAAGAAAATGGGAGAAACTGGAAACAGGACACATATCCTAGCCCACATGGTACTGCCCCACAATGCCTACCCTACACTGGAAATGGGCAAAAACGTAGTTGGAGAGTGTCACTCATCACATCTTCGTGTGTCGTCCCCCTAATCAAAGCTTAAACTCAGAGCGCAGACGACCAGATTAGCTGATAGTCGTAGAGAAGATGTAGTCTCTCCATAGGCCAGAGCCTTGGTGTAGAGAGGGCACACACAATCGCAGCCAAATGGCAACGCGTCAAAGACTGTTGAACTTCAAATGGAATTCGACAACAAAATACCGCCCACGTCAGGTAACGGGAAAGGATGGTAAATGCCTCTGACTGGTTTTTTTGGTCAGAGACACAACAGTTTGACAATTGCTTATGGTTTTTCTTTTCACATTAGTACAATCTTATGGTGAATGACGTAGAAAAGCTGTGCGACCGAAAACACGAAAATTCAATAATTACCTGTTTATTCTTGCCCTGGTTCAGCGTTTCGAGTCGTTCCATGATCTTTTCTGTGACCAGTGACTGAAAATACCTTTGTTTGGGTAGACATTAGAGAAATAGATAAAATATAAATACATTATATGTAGCAACTATATAAAATAACCTTCCCAGTTAAATGGAGTGGGCCAGCCTGCAGCGCGACTGCCTTTCTC